ATTGCCTTCCTGCTCCTCTGATGCTGCTTGGCCTGCTGTGTTCATCCAGCTCTACACCTTGTATCTCAGATTTTCCAGCATCTGCAGTTCCTACTATCTCTAAAGTAATTGCCTGGGGGGAGAACTGGGAAGACCTTCCTCAGGAGTTAATGAATGTGATACTTTACATTTGTCTTCACAGGTTGTCACAGCAGAGACATTGGATAGGACTGAAACAAAAGGTGCAATATTGGTTGGCAGCACTCAAAGTGAATAACCCTGTGGATTTGGGATTTATCTTTGGTTGCTGAGGAAAGTTGGGATATGATGCCTGAAGTTCTGTCCGCAGTCCTTCAATCCCCTTTGAAGTATTGAAGATGTGCCAGAGGGTTGGACGAGTGCAAGTGTCTAGAAGGGGGAGAGTGATAGACATCCAATAGCAAGCCCACCAAGTTCCTCAGTTAATGGATGTGGTGCCAATCAAGAGGGGAAATCCTGTCCCCAGCCATTTTGGACACAACAGCTTCTAACGTACCCTGCCTTATACTTAAAGTCCAAAATGGAAAATCCTGGTCCATAGGTCAACTGGACTTGGAAGTGACGCTCAGAAACTTGATGGCCAGAGGGACAATTGCAGGAAGTTGCTCACCTCCAGTTTCTCACAGAGTAGATTGCTGCTTATATTTAACAATGCAGCTTAGACGAAGGAGCCACCGATTCACAGCCCATCGCAATCCTGGAATACACAAGTAAATAAGCATGTAATGTTTTACATGTTCAGTCACACTGAGGCAAGTGGAGCCATGTAGAAGAAGAAACAAAGGATGAGAAGTTGGAAAATAGATATTTGAAATATCTGTGTCTCTGCAAAATATATCTACTAAAATATAAGAACACCATCAATGAAATTTAAAAAAAAACATGAATTTAGAGAGTTAGACAAAGCACAGTTTCAGAAGCTTGAGCAGTTACTGATATTGTTCAAACAGTGGACCTGGGGTCTGTGTTGGTTGTTTTGAGAAATGTACTCTCAAATGTGGACATTGCTGACAAGCTGGCATTTGCAGCTCATTTGTATTTTCCCTTCATCTTGACCCACTGCATATTGTAGTTTCAAATAACTCAGTGGGGGGAAGTAGTGGGAGCAGATATGGTAGTGACTTTTAAAGGGCATCTTGACAAGTACATGAATAGGATGGGAATAGAGGGATACAGTCCCAGGAAGCGTAGGGGGTTTTAGTTTGTGATGGACAGCATGTCGGTGCAGGCTTGGAGGGCCGAAGGGCCTGTTCCTGCGCTGCAATTTTCTTTGTTCTTTGTTCTTTGTTCTTTGGATTGCAAGGCCAATTCAGAGGGCAAGTAAGAGGCAACTAACTGGTGTGTGAGGGAACACAAATATAGGCCAGATTGGAGTGTAGAACTGGTTTCCATCCCTAAAGAAAATTAATCAATCTGTTGGGTTGTTAACAAGAATCTAACTTGGTGATGACGACTTTCACTGATATCAGTTTTTAATTTCCAAATTTTCATAATTGCATGGTAAAACTTCCAAAGTAAGTTTGAATCATTCTTCGGGGTATTCATCTAGTAACCTAAGTAATACACTGCAATATCCATGTGAGAAAAAGGCTAGAACCCTGAAGCAAAGTAATATTACAGCACAGAAGGTAATCTTTACACTCTATTATATCTATGTCAGCTCTTCGCCACAACAATGCAAAGCTACTTCCATAATCAAAATTTTTGCACAGCACTGGACCTCCCTGTACCTCATATAGTTATATAATTTTCCATTAAATTTTCACTCCTCTAACACAGCTCCATTCTCAACTTTGTCATAATTTATATAAACTGATACAAAATATTTATTTAAGAACTCTGCCTTAACTTTAACCTCCACAATTAGAATTTCCTGTTCGGTTTCTAGTACAGCTGTCCATTGTAAAACACATGAATTTCTTCCATTCATCTTGATAATGAATTCATTAACACACCAAATCTATACGCACTGTGGACATGGGCTCCCAGCTAAGCAAAGCCTTGATTTTAAAATTCTCAATCTTGTTTTCAAATCCCTCTATTGCCTTGCCCTTCCATATCTTTGTTCTCTCCTCCAAGTCTACAAACTTACAAAACACCTGGGTTCCTACAATTCTGACCTCTGTATATTCCAATTCTAATTATTCCACAGTTGTTAGTTGTACTTTCAGTTGCCAAAGGCCTAAGCTCTGGAATTTCCATGCAAAACATCTCCACCTATCTAAATCATTTCCTCCTTAAATACAATTCTTTAAACGCAAACGCTTTTTACATTTGGCCTAATGACACCTCATGGCTCAGTGTCATTTTATGTGATAATGCGAGTGAACCATTTTGGGACATTTCATAACATTAAAGGTATCATATAAGTACAAGTTGTTGTTGTCCTCCATCCTGCCTGATTTTCAATTGCTGATTCGTTGACTTGTTTGTTCACTTTTATGCCAGGTACCTTTGGACAGATAACCTAGTCTCACTTAAAGTGTAATCGAATCAGAGATAGTAGGAACTGCAGATGCTGGAGAATCCGAGACAACAAGGTGCAGGGCTGGATGAACACAGCAGGCCAAGCAGCATCATAGGAGCAGAGAGGCTGACGTTTCGGGCCTAGACCCTTCATCAGAAAAGGGGGAGGGGAAGGGGGTTTTGAAATAAATAGGGAGAGAGTGGGAGGCGGATAGAAGAGGGATAGAGGAGAGGATAGGTGGAGAGGAAACAAACAGGTCGAAGAGGCGGGGATGGAGCCAGGAAAGGTGAGTGTAGGTAGGGAGTTAGGAAGGGGATAGGTCAGTCCAGGGAGGACGGACAGGTCAAGGGGGCGGAATGAGGTTGGTCGGTAGGAGATGGAGGTGCGGCTTGAGGTGGGAGGAGGGGATAGGTGGGAGGAAGAACAGGTTAGGGAGGCAGGGACGAGCTGGACTGGTTTTGGGATGTGGTGGGGGGAGGGGAGATTTTGAAGCTTGTGAAGTCCACATTGATACCATTG